CTTTTCATTGGTCAGCATAGATCCCATGCTAATAAGGGGGCAGCTCCAGCAAGTAGAAAGTTCCAGCTCCCTTTCCTGACTCCCTCCCAAGCTTCCCTGTGTCCCTCTCGATGGCACCCACTTCTTACTGCTATTCCCGACTGCCCACGGGTGAGTTCCAAGAGAACCTGGGGGACCGCAAGCTGCCAGTGCGGGTGGGGATCCTGCTGGGCCTCCTGGTGATAGTGGTGGTCGGTCTGTCTGTGGCAGTAGGCGTTTTGGCTGCCAAGGCCAATAGCCCAGCTTGCAAGGATGGCCTCCCGGCTGAGCAGGAGTGTCGAAACATCACCCACCTCCTGGAGCAGGAGCTGACCCAGGCCCAGGAAGTCTTGTGGGGAACTGAGGCCCAAGCTGCCACTTGCAACCAGACTGTGGTAAGTCACTGCCCCTCCTAGAGAGGGCCCTGTGCTTGGGGGATTTTCAGGGTCTGGGTGCTTGGGGACCCCCAGCGTCGAGGTGGAGATGGAGATAGACCTTGAAACTGCCCCTAGGCCCCTGCATGAGGAGCTTGAATTTCCCCACCAGGGCTTTGGGGAGCTCTAAACTCCCTCTGGGGTGCCAGTGTGGGACCCCAGAGCACCCAATAAGGGGCCTCAGTATTCCCAGTAGGATGTGGATGAATCTCCAAACTCCAGGACATTGGTCTAAGGGAGCTGGAAGCTCCCCCTGGGCACAGTCTTAGGGAAGCAGAAATCCCCTCTGGGGTTTGGGATGGGGACCCCACCAGCAGACTCTGATTAAGGCAGGGTCTTTTTTTTAAATTGATTTTAGAGAGAGAGGAAGGGAGAGAGCAAGAGGAACATTGATTGTTGTTCCACTCATGGATGCATTCATTGGTTGATTCTCAGTATGTGCCCTGACCAGAAATAGATCCCACAACCTTGGCATATTGGGATGATGATCTTACCAACTGAGCTAGCTACCTGGCCAAGGCAAGGCAGGGGCTCTTGATACCTCCACTGGATCCCTAAGAGGCAGCATTTTAACTGGGATCTTGATATGGGGGTCCTTGAAACTCCCACTGGACATCTAAATTGGGTTCAGAAATCCCACTGTGTTCTGGGTTTGAGGTGATGTCTAACTCTTCTTGGACAATAGCCCAGAAGATCCGGACATTTCTCCTAGGCTTTGGGCCAAGAGAGCCCCCAAATTCCTAGGGAGGGGGGACTTGAAACTCCTATTTAGTGGATCACATCCTGGGAGGGTAGGAGGCTGTGGCCATTCTTCAGGGTGGAGACAGGTTCAGAGAGGGTTGGCAGGAATCCTGAAAGGGGCTTGGGCCTGAGCCCTCTGACTCCAGGGCCTGGAGAGGGGGTCAGGGCCCAGGAACAGCAGCCAACCCCACCAGGGACAAGAACCCCAGTTTGCAACACCCTTACTCTTCCCCGGCATCCCAGGAGACCCTGAAGATTTCCCTGAAAGAGAAGGCTGGGCGCCACAAGCAACAGGAGCTGGTGCAGAAGCTTCAAGGTGAGAAAAACACAGGCCCGGTTGCAGTCAGGGAGTTTGCAGGAGCCGGTCAGGTATTGAAGAGGAGGGAGGGGGAGGGCCTCAGGATTGGGGTCCGGCTAGAGGGACAGGACCCAAGCCAGAGGAAGTAGGAAGGGGCGGGCATGCCACACTTCCAAGGTGCACTGGCTCAATGGTGGGCTAGAAGCGGGATCCTGTCCGGGGGTGGGGCCAGCTGAGGGGCGTGGCTACGGTGCTGACTCACTCTGTCCCTCCTTAGAGGAGATCAAGACATTGAATCAGTCGCTGCAAAATAAATCGGCGGATCTGCAGGACGTATACGCGGAGCTGGAGCATCTAAGGTCAGGACACCCACCCACCCCAGGCCACGCCCCTTCCTCCTTCCAACCCCAAGACCTAGGATCCCCTGTGGCTCTGAAAATTCCCATTGTCCTGGGGACAGATTTGGAGCCCCAGCCTGGTCCCTCCAGTCACCCAACTCTGGGTGGCAACCGGCCACTCCCCTGCCCAGTGACCTGGTGGGGAAGGAGAAGAGATTTTGAGGGGCTTTGAGCCCAGCACCAGTGCAGCCAGACCTGGGAGCTTCCTGAGTTGTCCCCATCTCCTCCTCAGAAAAGAGAATGAGGCCTTGGTCTTCGGCAAGGGCCCCACCAACGCCAAGAGCCCCCCCAACTCTGGGATCACCCTCCATCTCTCTGTGGCCACCGTGCTCCTGTCCCTGAGCCTCCTGGCTCTGCTGGTCTGAGATCCCAGGAAGCCTTTCGGTGAGGAGGGGGCTGGAGAGGGATGGGAGGAGTTAGGGACAGTCAGGGTCTGGGGTGGTGGCCTGCCTGTGGGGAGGGGGCTGGGGGCTGGAGAGAGAGGAATCGCAGTGAGGAGCTGTGGGGCAGAAACAGAACAGTGGGGACCAGCTATGTTATCCTATTAACCTTGTCCGTTGACTGTGACTGTTCCCTTCTGATTAGGCACATTCTAACCTGGCTGAGAGCTGTTCGCCCAGAGACAAGGGGATTAACCTCAGAATGCCGTCCAGGGTGCTTTTCAGAGAGTTTCCTGTCATCTTGGAAAGATAACAACCTGGTCCCAGAGAAGCTCTCTCCCATTTGGCCTGCAATCCACCCTAATAAACTTTCATAGGACTCAACCCTGTCTCTGCTTAATAATTGACTCAAGGAGTGACAGGCACCCAGGCCCATCTGTGTCAGGTTCAGAGGGAGGGGTCCAGGCAGGCGTGGGGTGAGGCTCATGGAGGGGTTGGGGCAAGTTCTGCCTGACTCATCCTTGTTGTCCTTTAGGCCACCACCTGGACTCGCCTGTTTCCCCCTGGGTTTTCCTGACCTGGCAGTTCTGAGGGGCAACATGGCTGTGGGGAGGGGACGGTGAGGGGGAGGCCGGGGGCCAGGTGGCAGGGGGTGGTTCATGGGGGAGCCATAGAGGTGGGGACGCATCAAAGTTGGCCCAAAGCTGCACCCACCCCCCACACCTCCAAGCTGGGCAGGTGATGAAGTGGGAGGGGGCACCTGTTCTTTGCTGTCATGGTTTCTGGAAGGTAACTTCTTCTGGGGTCTTTGGGTTCCACAGAATAAGCCTCCCCTTTTGGGGAAGGAACTTACTCTGTAGTTCCTGGAGGATCACTGTGTCAGTCCCAAGCACCTGGGACCCCTTGATGTCTACACCAGCCTCCTTGCTCCAGAATGTTCCCAGAAGCCCACAGGGTTTGGTCAGGTACCACCCCACTGCCTACCCAGCCCTCTTTTCTGATGGATTCACCCTAAAGGACTGTCCACCCTTTCCCCACCCCCATCGGTGCTACTCAGTGCTCAGCATTCTAGTCTTATCTCCTCCCCCAGCTCCTGATGCTCTTGCTCCCCATCCCTTTCCATGGAAATGGAAGCTGTGAGGAGAAGGACATCTTGTCATGGTCTCCATCCCCTCCCATGGAAAGTGCAGGGCTGGCCCCGGTGGGTGTGGCTCAGTTGGTTGTGCACCTTCCCAAGCACCAAAAGGCTGCCAGTTCAATTCCTGGTCAAGGCACAGGCCGGGGTTGCAGGCTCCTTCCCGGGTAGGGGGCATGCAGGATTCAGCCAATCCATGTTTTGCTCTCACATAGATGTTTCTCTCTCTTTCCCTCTCCCTTCCCCTCTTCCCTCCTCTCTCTCTAAAGAGCAGTTAAGCCGTAACTGGTTTGGCTCAGTGTATAGAGCGTCGCCTGTGGACTGAAAGGTCCCAGGTTTGATTCCGGTCAAGGGCATGTACCTTGGTTGCCAGCACATCCCCAGTGGGAGGTGTGCAGGAGCAGCTGATCGTTTCTCTCTCATCGATGTTTCTAACTCTCTATCCCTCTCCCTTCCTCTCTGTAAAAAAATCAATAAAATATATTTTAAAAAATAAAAATAAAAAGCAGTTCAGCCCTTGCTGGGTAGCTCAGTTGGTGGGAGTGTCCTCCCGGTATGCCAAGGTCACGGTTCAATCCTCAGTAAGGGCACACACAAGGGTCATTCAGTGAGAGCATGAATAAGTGAGAAAACAAAATGATGTTTCCCTCCCTCCCTCTCTCTCTAAAAGCAATCAATCAATTTAAAAAAATCAATTTAATAAAATAACAGCAGAATGTGTGGGGCTGGGATTCAGACCTGGATCTGCAGAGACACCCAGGCCAGGCATTAGTCACAATGTACCTCCCTCCTCCATCCCCCAAATTCTTACTCATCCTGCAGAGCCCACCCCCAGAGAGCCTGCTTCTCCAAAATGGAGGCCTCCATCCTGAGAGACCCTTCACCCACCCTCCTGGGTCCTCACCTGCCCCCTAATTCCTTCCTCTCTCTTATCTTACTTCCTCCAACTTCTGCTGGAATCCCGACTATTGTCCATGAAACTTCCTGTGCATGGCACTGGGTCAGGACCCCTGTGTCTGCCCAAAATTCTGCACTGCCCTCAGGTCCCGCAGTCCCCAGATGAGGTGGTCAACCACCCAGGGACCCCCAAACACATCCCTGCCACAGGCTCCCCTGGCCCTTCTGTCCCCTCCCTTCCCCTGCTCACAACTCCCCACCCTCCCAGACCATTTCTCTGTGCAGGGACCTTGTCAATTTCCTTCCTGCCTCACTCTGACACTCTAGGGCAGGTTTCTCCACCTCTGCACTGTTGGCATTTGAACTGGAGTGCTCTCTGTGATGGGGGCTGCCCTGAATGGGAAGGAGGTCAGGGTATCCCTGGCCTCCCCCCACCAGGTGCCAGACCCTCCTACCCCCAGGTTGTGACAGGAACTGCCTTCAGATATTATCAAGTGTCCCTGGGGGTCAGAATCATATGCTGTGAGAACCTCTGCTGGAGAGGGCCAGGCTGGGGCGCCCCTCCCCCCTTCTGTGTCCCCAGCCTGCAGGAGGGCTCAGTGGGAGCCCCCAAGGTCCCTTTACTATGACTGAGTCATGTCACTCCCCACCAACCTCATGTAGCAAATGAGGACACAGGTCCAGAGAAGTCTCTGCACTTACTCAGGGCTCTCAGCTGCTCAGGTGATTGGACCCTTGCCTTCAGCAAGTTCCCTTGATTTCCAAGAAGCAAACCCTTCCACAGGCCACATGACCTCATCACTTCCCCACCTCCCCTCCTCCACTCCCACTCCCAGCTGGGGCAACCAGAATGTTCCAAAAACAGTGAGGACAGCCCCAAAGCCCAACAAGATGAATTTGACCTGTTCAATGTCTCCCTCCAAACCTCGACACAATGGCCCAATTATACACTTTTCTCCTTCCTAAAAATGCCCACTTCCCCTCCTGGCTGTGGCCAACTGAGCCAGGGGTTGAGAAGTCAGGACTCATGTCCTGCAGGTCTGTAGGGGTTCCAAGTCCCACAGGAATCTGGCAGTGACCAACGACTGCTGTGTGTTCCTGGACTAAGACTTGGCCTCTCTGGGATCTGATTTCTTCATGTGGAATAAAAGGGAGGGGGGTCCAGGGTGGGGAGTCAGGACCTGAGATTCTAGTTCACAGTGTTTTCTCAGCTCACATTTCCTGCCCAGCCACTGCGTGCGAGGACCCAGGCTGGGGCAGTGGGAACCAGGCAGATGTTGTTATGGACCAATGTTCGCGAGAGTAAGACCACCAACTCCAATTAGGTCTTAAGCAGCAAGTGAGGATTTATTGAAAAGCTGGCCAGTGGCTGCCGTAGGCATGTTCTCCTACCACAGCGCCGACCCTGGTTCCATGCCAGCCTTTTATTCCCCAAAACCATACAACGGTTGGCTAAACACACACAAAGTTACCTGGGATACACTGCCCCGTTACCAAGGTATTCATTAATCAACTTGCCCAGTTGCTCTAGCTACTAATATCAACTTGCCCCATTTCTCTAGCTACTAATATCAACTTTCCCCATTGCCCCAACTACTAATATTAACTTGCCCCGTACCCTAACTACCCTCGACCACAGTTGGTTCCATTTCCCCAGTACAAGAGGGGCTTAACTGTAACACTCCCTACTGGTCTTTAAGGACAAATTCAGACCCTGGATTTGTCGCTAGTATCCACTAGCTGAGATGGGCTCCCCCCCACCTGCATGGTTAAGGAGAGAATGCACGAAGTGATTCCTGTTGTACATGCCCACCAAGTCCTATTTGGGGCTACCAGGTACCAGGGGACCCCCCCCTCCCCAGCTCTCCTCTTGGGGTTTGGCTGCAATTGCCCTGGTAGGGGGAGTCACCTAGTGAGTAATTGGCTGAGGCTACACATAGCCCTGTGCCAGAGATGTCCCCAAGGGTGAGCCCCCTCCTCCTGTGTCCCCATGGACAGAGTCCTGGTGTCTCCTGGTTCGTGGAGACATTTTGGACGTCCTGGTCCGAGTTCCCCAGGCAGCTGTCAGGTTGGGAGAACTGTTGTTCAGGAGCTGGAAAGAGGCCTCTAGCGAAGAGAAGATGTCCGCCCTCATTATAGGTCCTTGGGGAACAGGCCATTTCAGTGGTGATGGTTCCGGTACCGGCTCCACCTCTGGGCTTGGGCTCACGACGGTGGTCTATGCAGAAATGGGCGATGAGGTAGGGATCTCCTTGGGAGCTGGCGTCCCCTGGACCTCCGGCCGCCTCACAGGTGCCAGCGGCCCGATGGGGTTGAAAGGCCGAGGGGTCTCTCACCTCTGGATCGTGAAGAGCACCCCATGGTCCGGTCCTCCTTCACTTGCGTAAGGTGAATCCAGTGCTTCTTACCAGCTACCTTAACTGCTGACGGGGTGGTGAGGACTACGGTGTAAGGACCATCCCACAGTGGTTCGAGTCCTCCGGGCTGGTGCCGCTTGACCCAGACGAGGTCTCCCGGCGAAACCTGATGTCCCCTGGGCTCCTCCTGCTGTTCAGTCTCTCGGTGAGCCTCTTTCACAATCCTTTGGGCTGTTGTAGCAGCTTGCTGGAGTGCCTGCAAAGACTTAAGCAAATTACAGGCAGAGAGATGGGCGACTTCCTCCTCCCCCAACCTGGGCACCAATGGCGGTGGTCACCCAAACATTATTTTCAATCCTTGTACATACGGGGTGCACCTAGCTCTGAGGAGAGCAAAAGGAAGGAGACTTACCCAGTTTTCGCCAGTCTCTAATTTTAACTTAGTTAATGTTTCCTTTAAGGTCC